AAAAATCATTTAACATAAATTTCTTTTGACATAAAATTCATTTAACGTAAATTTTATTTGTTATAAAATTCATTTGACATCAACTTCATTTGGCATAAATGTCATTTAACGTAATTCTCATTTGACATAAATATCATTAGACATAAAATTAGATTGACATAAATTTCATTTGACGTGAATATCATTTAACATAATTATTATTTAACGAAAAATTAATTTATATAAATTTCATTTAGCATAAATTCCATTTAACATAATTCTCATTTGGCATAAAATTTACTTGACATAAATTTCATTTGGTATAAATCCCATTTAACATAATTTTCATTTGACATAAAGTCACTTGATATACATTTCATTTGACGGATAACTCATTACTAGAGGTGTGCAAAAAGCTCGAAACCCGAAGCTCGAGCGGGTATTTTCGAGCTTTTCATTTTTCGAGCCGAGCCGAGCCTATTCAGTTCGAGCTCGGGCCGAGCCGAGCTTTATAAAAAGCTCGAATAATTTCGGGTACTCGAATTTTTCGGGTACCCGAAACTTTCGGGTACTCGAAATTTTCGAGTACTCGATTTGATTCGAGCCCTTGAGAAAATCCAAAATTTTCTACATTAATTTTTAATTAAATTTTTTTTTGTAAAAAAAAAAATTTTTTTAATTTAAAAGCTCGAATTAAATCGAGTACTCGAAAATTTCGGGTACCCGAATTCATTCGAGTACCCGAAATATTCGAGTACTCGAGTGAATTCGGGTACCCGAATGTTTCGGGTACTCGAAAATTTCGGGTACCCGATACATCGAGCCCGGCTCGGGCTCGGCTCGGCTCGACTCGAAAAAATTGCGGCCCGGCTCGGCTCGGCTATTCGAGCTTTTTGCACACCTCTACTCATTACACATAATTCTCATTTGACATAAATTTCAGTTGTCATAGATTTTATTTTACGTAAAGATCATTTGACATGGAAATATAGACGCGAATTTCAAAATTGGCGAATCACAATGTTGTTGATAATATCTAATTGGTTACTTTTAAAATTCGCGCTGATATTGTTATGTAAAATGTAATTTGTGTAAAATGATTTTTATGTCAAATGAGAATTTTGTTGAATGACTTTTATGACAAATGAGAATTGTGTTAAATGTCTTTTATGTCAAATGAACTGTATGTCAAATGAAAATTATGTTAAATGGGATTTATACCAAATGAAATTTATGTCAAGTAAATTTTATGCCAAATGAGAATTATGTTAAATGGAATTTATGCTAAATGAAACTTATATAAATTTACTTTTACGTTAAATAATAATTATGTTAAATGATATTCACGTCAAATGAAATTTATGTCAAGCTAATTTTATGTCTAATGATATTTATGTCAAATGAGAATTACGTTAAATGAATTTTATGTCAAAAGAAATTTATGTTAAATGATTTTTATGTCAAAAGAAATTTATGTTAAATGATTTTTATGTCAATAGAAATTTATGTTACATAATTTTTATGTCAAATGGGAATTAAGTTATCTGAGTTTTATGTAACATAATATTTCTGTTTAATGAATTTTATGACAAATGATATTTATGTTAAATGGTTTTTGTGTACAATGAAATTTATGTCAAATAATGTGCATATTATGTGAATTTTAAGTTAAGTAGTTTTATATCAAATAACTATTTGGTCAAAAAAGATTTCGGGAATAAGCATGCGTCTCGAAAAAAGAGTTCAGAGTAGAAAGAAAAATTTTATTTTTCTTTATTTGTTTTGTTTATACATATGTTAAAGACAAACCTTTGTCTGAAATTATTTAAAAATTGTTAATAATGTTATAAACAATTTTTATAGACAATTGTTTATAACATTTTAAAAATTGTTTATAAATATTGAAAAAATGGTTGACACATCAGTTTCCACTTTAATGTCAGAAAAAGTTAGCAGTGAAAAAAAAAAATTTTTTTTCTTTCTGAACAACTTTTTTTTATCAAAATTGTTTATAAGGGGCCGTTCATAAACTACGTCACACTATTTTGGATAATTTTTCCACCCCCCCCCCCTACCCACGTCACAAATTTTACATGCTTTAGCGCCATTTTTTCTACAGAACGTCACAAAAAATGAATTCCACCCCCCCCCCTCTAAGGCGTGACGTAGTTTATGGACGGCCCCTAACATTGATAAAATTTTTTAAATAATTTCAGACAAAGGTTTGTCTTTAACATATCTATTCTAATGACAAACAAAGCAAATAAAAAAAGCAAAATTTTTCTTCCCACCCTGAACTGTGTTTTCTATGAAAATTATTCATAAAAATTGTTTATAACATTTTTAAATATTGTTAAATAATGTTAAATTAGAGTTTAAAGCATTATGAAATTGTTTATAACATTCTTAAACATTGTTAAATAATTTTGAATTAATTTTTTTACTTTCAATATCCATTTTCACTGCAAAAAAAAAGAATTGCTGCAAAAAAATTATTTCGACCACTTTTGTCCATAGTTTTCAAATTGTTTATAATATTGTTAAATAACATCATATAACTTTTTTTTGTTGAAACAACATTATTTTATTCAAATGAAGAATAAAAGTTAAAAAAAAAATAATGTTAAAATTTTTAAAAATTATTTTTCCCAATTTGAAAATTCTGGCGGACATTTTTGAAGCACCATTTTGAAATTTGAAAAAAAAAATTTTTGGCAACATGTCTATCTGATAGTCACAACATTTTGGACGCTATATTTTGATATTCCGGATTTTTTCCAAACCGATTTCGATTGAATAATCTGATTTAAAATTAAACACTTATAACTTTCTATTATTAAATTGAAATTGAAATTTTCTCTCAGATTCTGAAAGAGGACACTCAAAACCATAAAAAACCTATATCCAGATTTTTTAAAATTCGTAACTCGTAGAACGGAAAGCTCGAACTTTTAAGTACTAAGAAAACGGTCATTTGGGACTAAATGGGTTAGATATTTGCGTAGAATTTTATTAAATTTTTTTTTAAATATGAATTCTTTTGAAAATTTTTATTAAAATAGTATATATTGAAAAAAAAATTTTGAAAATAATTGAAATTTTGCCAAGAATTTTAATAAAATTTTTAAGAATAATTTAATTTTAGAGAAGAATTTGATTATTTATAAAGATACTTGAAATTCTGACGAGAATTTTTTTTAATTTTTGAACATAATTGAATTTCTGCGAATAATTTGACTACTTTTTAAAATAATTGAATTTCTACAATCATTTGTAACTTCTCAAAAATGCAATTTTTTTAGTATTTTTAACTAAATTCTACGCACAAATTCAATTATTTTTAGTAATTAATTAAATAATAATAAAATTAATTAAATAATAATATTATTAAATAATAATAATAAAATTAATTAAATAATAAGGAATATTTTTTGTACATAATTAAATTCACTAATCTATTCGCAGTTTGAAGTTAGTTGTTGTTTGCTTTTTTGTTGCCTAACTTTTTTAATGATTTTTCTTTTCAAATATTTTCCATTTTAAAATTAATGTATTGAAAATCATTGAATTCTTGCAAAGAATTTTTTCAACAAATTTGAGAATAATTGAATTCTTTCGAAGAATTTTATTATTTATGAAATTAATTGAATTCTTACTAAGGATTTTATTAAAATTTTTGAAAATCCTAATTAAATTCTTTTGAAGAATTTGTTCTTATTTTTTGAGAATAATGGAGTTTTCTTTAATAATTTTAATTGAAAATTTTTATTAAATGAAACATTTATTTATTGAATTTTATTAAAATTTTTTGAAAAGAATTAAATTTTTTCCAGAATTTTATTACATTTTTCTAAAATAATTTAATTCCTTATTATTCAACAATACATAATTGAATTCTTTCAAAAAATTTCTTTAATTTATTAAATATACCCGATTTTATTAATAATTGATTGTAATTAATAATTTTACTATTAATAATTTTACTATTAAAATTTTATTAAAATTATTAATAGAAAATTAAACTCTTTCAATCAATTTTATTAGAGTTTCTGTAAATAATTAAATTATCTTAACGAATTTCTTTAAGTTTTTGTTGAAAATAATGTAGTTTGTTGAATAATTTTAATTGGAAATTTTGAAAATAATTAAATTAAACAAAGAATTTTTTTTTTAACTTTTTAAAATAATCGTGTCTGTTAATAATTATAATTAAATATTTGATTTTTGAAGTTTATTAAAATTGTATTGAAAACAAATGAATTCCTGAGAAGAATTTTTTATTATATATATTAAAAGTAATTTAATTCTTGCGATGAATTTTACCACTTAAAAAAATAATTGAATTGTTTCAAAGATTTTATTAAAATTTTAGAAAATATTTGAATTTTTTCGAAAAATATTATAACGAATTAAGAATAAAATTGAATTCTTTCCTGAAATTTTATTAAAATTTTGAAAATAATTGAATTCTTTTGAAAAATTTTATAACGAATTAAGAATAAAATTGAATTCTTTCGTGAAATTTTATTGAAAATAATTTTGAATTTTTGCAAATATTTTATTATTCAAAAAAATAATTGAATTGTTTCAATGAATTTATTAAAATTTGAGAAAATAATTGAATTCTTTCGTGAAATTTTATTAAAATTTTGTTGAAAATAATTGAATTTTTGTAAAAAAAAAAATTACTACCTATTTATAAAAATAATTGAATTCTTCTGAAGAATATTATTATTTATGAAAATAATTGTATTCTTGCGAAAAAAGATTTCAAAAAAAAAACTTTTTTTTTATTAGAAACAGGTGAAAAAGGGGACAAATCATCAAAAAAGGGGAAAAAGGTAACAAATTATCAAAAAAAAAAGGTGAAAAGGGTGACAAAATTAAAAAAAAAGGGATAACAGGAGAAAATCTAGATATTAAACCATTTTTTTGCAGTAACAAAAATTTGTTCATATTTCCCTCTTGGATTGAGAATTATATAATTTAAATTAAATGAATACTTTTAATAAGAAACTTACTAGTCCTGAAAACTTTGAAGACATTTGTCTCGCACTCCATTCGACGTATATTTTCTTTACCTTCCATACCAATCATTGCTTTTAAATATGAAGGTTTAAATACTGCACCTCTTCTCTCAGGATATAAATCATAACCCCATAAAGATTTTTTTTCTCCATTTTCATCTTTTTGTATTGGAATATTCTCCTTGTCAGTACTTTCACTATTATTAGCGGCGTTTTCTGTACTCATTTTCGTTTTTGCCGTTCTTTCTAGGACAGTAATTGCATTTATTTATTATTTTTTATTTTTTTTTATAAGTAAATAAATAAGAACATGCTCCTGACACTCAAATTTCATATGTCGTACGTCGTACACACACATATATGTATATAGCAGAAAGAATAATCATAGATAATAGATGTAGAAATGTAGTAGAACATCTGAAGTGTGAACTATTTTTAAAGCCATTTCAACAATTCGTTTAGTGACAACTTTTGAAAAACCCGGAAAAATTATTCTCGTCTTTCTCTCTCTTATGGCAGTGGCATAAGTTTGTCTCACTCTACACTTTCCGTTTTTGGAAAAAGAAAGAAAATGTAGAGTGAGACGAACTCATGCCACTTTCATGCGAAAGAGAAAGATGAGAAATTGAGAGTGGTTTTTCCAAACGTCGTGTGATCGTACCTTAATAGTGAAAAGTTATTCATTAAGTTCCCAACCCTGTTGGAACATCTGATTGACAACATCAACAAATAAGTAATAAACTGTCATTTTCGTGATAAATTGTTCTTTTTAAACAAATATATTTTCAAACAATTACCTCTTAAAATACAATTCATCGTCTATAAGTCTGTCACTAAGAAACTTATTAACTGAACTTTGACATAAAAAACTAAGTATTGAACGAAGTAATTTTATTACATCAAAAAACTAAGTTTTAAACGATTGTTACTTAAAATAGCAGAACAACAATGTTTCTGTTATGATTCGCCGATTCGTTTAATCAATATTACAATATTCAAGGAGATTTCTGCCTGAAATTGTAAGTATTAAAATTGTTTTTATATGAAACGCATGATACTATCATTCTAACCTAAAAATAATTATTGTTACCACGAAGACGAACACTGTAAAAAATTTTTCTTGCTCATTCACAGTTGCGATTTGTAATTTTACAGAAAATTGTAGAATGGTACTTTTAAATGTAGCGAATTTGCAACGCCTACTGTAAACGTAATACTTTTAAAGCAACAATTTTACAAATTTTTGTACTTTTACTACTCTAAAAGAGGGTCTGAATATTACCTAAATTCAGTGTGGCAAGATTACAACCGCGGTTGTAATTTTACAGATAGTTGTAAGAAAACAAACATAACCAGTATAGTTGTTACTTGGAATTTAGTAAAATTGCTACTCTGAATGTAGGTAATATTCGGACCCACATTCAGAGTAGTAAAAATACAAGAAATTTTTTTTACAGTGTAATGCAAAAAAATACCATTTTTTACGAAATTAATTTTAAAAAATCTTGTAATTTTACTATTTAAATTATATGATTTATTATTTTTTGTAACCAAAAAGCAATGTCACTTTTATTGAAGGAAAAGATTTTAAAGTTATGTAAGACAACTTTTAAATAATTAGGATTTTCATATTTTTTTTAACCGGAGCTAACTTTTTCTTTAGAATCCATAAAAAAAATCCAGAATTTTTATGTCTTTTTTGTTTTCCTCATAAACTATAAAATTACCACGAATTCTAATAAAAGAAACTTTAATTTTTTTATATTTCTGACAATTTCTTTTTAAACAACTTAATTCTCGAAGAGTTATCATAAAATTATTACTTAGAAATTATTTAATGAATAATTTTACTCAAATATTTCAAAATTAATTGAATTTTAAAAGAGTGGCGTTTACAATTATTTTCATAAATAAATTAACTTCAAACGGTTTCAATTAAAAATTTTATAAAATTTCAATTGTGAATAATTTTAATTAGCATTTTAAAGAACTTAGATTTTTGAAAAAATTTAATAATTCAAATTCTTCTGAAATTAGTTAAATTTATCAATATATGTTTAATTAATTATTAAAAATAATGGATTTATAGAAGAATTTTAGTTAAAAACAGTAAAAAAAAATTGAAGTTTGATGAAGTTACAAATAATTGCAAAAATTCAATTATTTTCAAAAGTAATAAAATTCTTCGTGGAAATTTAATTATTTTGAAAAATTTTTGAAAATTCTCGTCAAAATGTCAATTATCTTTATAAATAAAAATAAAATTCTTCTTCGAAATTCAATTATTTTCAAAAATTTAAATAAAATTCTTGGCAAAATTTAAATTTTTTTCAAAAATTTTCCTCATTTCAATGATTTTTAATATCTACTATTTTAATAAAATTTCCCGAAAAGAATTCAATTATTTATAAAAAATTTTGATAAAATTCTAAGCAAACATTAAATTATTTTTATAAATAATAAAAATTTCACACGAATTCAACTATTTACAAATTTTTTATTTTCTTCGCAATAATTCAATTTTTATTATAAAATGAAATTCTTCTTAGAAATTCAATTATTTTCATATATAATGAAACTCATATCAATTATTTTTAATACAATATTTTAATCGAATTCTTCGAAAAATGAAATAATTATTCTTGAAAATTTTTTATGAAAATTCAATTTTGAGAAAAATTTATATATTCCATATAAGTTATTTATTTTTGTGTTTAAATAATTGAATTTTCGTAGAATTTTCTAATAAAAATTTTTTTAAAAACGAATTTCAGTTAAGATTTTAGATAATAATTGAATATAAAAAGCATTATAACTTGAACTTTTAGAAATAATTGAATTATGAAAATGTTTTCACTTAAAATCTTTGTAAACTTGAATTTTTTATACTTTTAACTGATAATTCTGTAGAATTAATTTTTTTTGATAAAGTTTAATTGAATTTTTCTTTAAAATTATTTCAAATTTTTATTTTCTAAATATTTAATTGAAGAATATCCGAATAATCGAAATTTCGTGCAATTGAAATGTAAACAAATGGGTTTGAAAATTCTCAAGGAACTTTTGCAAAAATTATTAAAAATAATTGATAATTGAATTCTTTTGAAGATTTTTAATCAAATTTTTGAAAATAGTTACATTTTTCGAAGAATTTTCTTAAAATTGTATTAAAAATAATTGAAATCCTGCAAAGAATTTTATTATTTAGTAGAATGGGCAAAGTGACAATTTTATTTTACATTTATTTTCTATTTGACTAGAAAATGGAAAAAACTTTAAACAAAAACTGAAAGTTTATCACAAATTCTTAATATTCCGTAAGTTTTTACTTAATTTTATAATCCACTTTTTCCATTATTTGTTAATAAAAATCCCAAAATTAGGTTGCTTTACTGATAATCTTTGTGATAATATTTTTTTTATTATTTTATATCTTTTAATTGCTTATAAAAATTTATAATAATAAATTTAGACATTCTTAACAAATGACAATAATTTTTGTTATATTTTTGCACTAAATTGTATGCCTTTTAAATTATTTTCTGCAGACAGAAAACTGACAGATTTTAGTATTTTTTACATCAGGGTTGCCACAAAAATTTAATTTTGTTTTTCCATGAATTTTTCCTGATTTCCAAACAAAATTTTGACTTCTTCCCTGACCTTGAAGAATATTCTGATTCACTCTAAAAATTATTAGATACTCAAAAAAAATGTTCTATTACATTTATTTACGAATTTCTTTAATTGTAAATTTTTTTGAACACATTAATAACTTCTTTTTTTAAATAAATATTTAATCATTATCAATTTTCTATAGGAATTAAGATTTTCAAATTCAAACCTTTTAAAATTCAATAACTTATGAAAATGTTATTATAAAACATGAAGAAATTTAAGATGAGAAAATAATTGGATTCTTGCAAGAAATTTTATTAAAAATTTTTTTTAAAAAATGAATTCCTTTGAAAAAATTTATTTCTGAAAATAATTGAATTCTGGAGAAAAATATTATTTTTTTTTTATTATTTATAAAAATAATTGATTTCTTGCGAAGAACTTTATTCCAATTTTTTTAAATAATTGAATTCTTTTAAAAAGAATTGTATTAAAAATATTTGAATTGTAAGTATAGAAAATTTTTATTATAATTGCAATTTTATTAACTAAATCTTGTAAAGAATTTTGTCAACATGTTTTTAAATAATAGAATTTTTAAAAGAATTTTATTTAAATTTTTTGAAACAATTAAATTTCTTAGAACTATTTTTGTTCAATTCTCTGAATATATTTGAATTCTTTTGAGAAACTTCATTAAAAAATTAAAAATAATTTAATTGGTTCGAAAAATTTATAAAAAAATGGTAAGTAATTGAATTCCCTTGAAATTTTTATTAAAATTTTGTTTAAATAATTAAATTCTTTTGGAAACTTATATTAAAATATTAGATGTTAAAAATAATTGAAATGAGGAAAGTTTTTGAAAATAATTGAAATTTTGCCAAGAATTTTATTAAATTTTTTGAAATTAATCGAATTTTGGAGAAGAATTTTATTATTTATAAAGATAATTGAAATTTCGACGACAATTTTAAAAAATTTGTCAACATAATTGAATTTATGCGACGAAGTTTATTACTTTTGAAAATAATTGAATTTCTGAAATCAGTTGTTCTTAAAATTTCAAATTGAATCCTTTGAAGTTCATCTATTATTTATGAAGATTGTAAACGCAACTCTTTTGAAATCCAATTAATTTTGAAATTTTTAAGTAAAATCATTCATTAAATAATTTATAAATAATAATTTTATGATAGTTTTTCAAGAATTAAGTTATTTAATATTTAATAAAGTTATTAAATATTTAATTAAGTTATTTAAAAAGAAATTATTGTCATAGAAATAGAAAAAAATGAAGGTTTTGTATTATAATTCTTGGCAATGTCATAGTTTATGAGGCAAAGAAAAAAGATTCCAAAATTCAAAATTTTCTTATGAATTTTAAAAATTTAATTTTTTTCAGTACTTTTAATAAAAATCCCTGACATTTTCCCGAATTCCCTGATCTGTGGCAACCCTGTACATTTTAAATTCATTTTTACAAAAGATATAAAATTTTTTTGAAAAAATCTTTTTATTTTGTGACTTTAGTAACAAAAGTGGCTGTTTTGCACCACCTGGTGGGGTTTTCCCATTTTGCGATTTTGGTAAAATATAATGTTATAAATTTTTGTGTTCTTATATTTTTCTTTTATTTATAGGACAAATAAATAAAAAAAATTTTTTAGCTTGCAAAATTGTATTTTAAGTTAAGTTTACGTGCTTTCGATTTACAGTCATCAAAATGAGCAACTCAAAAATAAAAACTATAATATTATTCATACAATATCCAAACTAATATTAAAATTTATGTGTTATCTAATTAATTTTATATTCCAAATGACTGGTAAAACAGTTAAATAGTTTTAAGGGGTTATACATAGTCTTGATTTTCAAAAAATCGAATTTTTTTGCAGTTTCTTAAAGTATATATGGGGCATTCCACGCCAAATCGTAAATTATTTTGCTTTTGCATCTCAAATTTTTTTTAAACATTTTTTTTTCTTTTACTTCTCTCTGAAATGAGCTACCTTGATTTTTTTCAAATTTTTTCATAAAGCGGTTCAGGAGGTACAAATTTTTGAAAAATGACATTTTTTTACCTAAATTTTTTTTAAATACTTATAACTCGGTTAAAAATTGATCAAATTGGACGTTTTTATAATGAAAAGTTTTGTTTTCACGCGTAGTTTTTAAAAAAAATATTTTTAAAAATGTTTTTAAATAATTTACGATAAGATTTAAAAATTTTTAAAATAAAATTTCATTTTTAACAATGTATGTATCGATCAATTTTTTCAACATTTTTTGTAAGATACTAGCACTAAATTAACAATTTTTAAGCCTTGTCGGATCGTGGGCAAACGATGGGATCTATTTATTTTGAAATTTTTAATTTTTATATATACACAGTGAAAACGGTAGGCCAAACTTGTCATTTGACCAAATCTCAATTTTACACAGAAAGAAGGTTAAGTTTGTAGAGACTTAGTCTGAAAACACATTTTCTGTGAAAATTTTGTGTGATTTTGTCAAATGGCAAGTTAGTCATTTGGCCACCACTGCGTATATAAAAATTAAAAATTTCAAAATAAATAAATCCCATCGTTTGCCCACGATCGGACAAGGCTTAAAAATGGTTAATTTAGTGCTAGTTTCTTACAAAAAATTTTGAAAAAAATTGATTGATACATACATTGTTAAAAATAAAATTTTATTTTAAAAATTTAAAAATCTTATCGTAAATTATTTTGAAATTTTTTAAAAATATTTTTATTAAAAACTACGCGTGAAACTAAACTTTTCATTATAAAAACGTCCAATTTGATCAATTTTTGACCAAGTTATTAAGCATTTAAAAAACATTTACGTAAAAATTGTCATTTTTCAAAAATCCGTATCTCCTGAACCGCTTTATGAAAAAATTTGCAAAAAATCAAGGTAGCTCATTTCAAAGAGTACTAAAAGAAAAAAAAATGTTAAAAAATAATTTGAGATGCAAAAGCAAAATAATTTCCGATTTGGCGTGGAATGTCCCATATATTTGTCTGTTGTAAAAAAAATGTTTATTAAGATTCAAGGAATATTTTCGAAATTACAGATATAATTAGCAAGGCGGCGTGGCGCCGTACGGTGTGCAGAGCAGGTGATGCGCCTGTAACGAGTTCCTATAGAAATCTGATTCTTTTGTCCCGTCTATTATATTCTACCGTCCAATTTTCGTATACCTGACTATAGATAGGCATTCGTTCCTTGCCTTCGAATAACGGCAAAATTTTAGTACAAAACTAGACTCTGAACTGTCAAGTCGTGCGTTTATATCTATTCAGTTTATATCTATTTTCGTCGTGATTTAAAAAATGAGTCAATCCAAGTGTAGTAGAGAAAAACGAGCACTTACGGGCTTCCATAAATCGCGACCAAAGAAGAGGAAAAACGTTTTCAATCCAAAAACAGCTGAGACTGATGAAAAAAATTTTAGTGCCTGCGCGAAAAAATTCAAAAATCAAGACGAACTCATTGTTCCACGTGATGTGTCGATTGAATATAGAATTTTAAATTTCATAACTGTCTTTGCATCAATCTCGGAGTTTGTAAAATGTAAAGACTGTGGTGGAAATGTGTCATTTAAAACTGATAGTCAAAGAGGACTTGGTTTTAAAATTATTATCGTATGTGACAAGTGTGCGAATAGATGTGTCAATTCGAGTCCCTTAATCGGACATTCTTATGAAATAAATAGACGTTTTATATTTGTGATGAGAGTGCTCGGATTAGGGTTGAACGGTTGTGCAAAATTTTGTGGATTAATGGATATGCCCGGTTTCCTAAGTCAGAGTTCATATGATTCTATAGTAAAAAGTATACACGGTTGTGTGAAAATAGTCAGCGAAAAACTTTTCCAACGCGCTGCAACGGAAGAAAAGGAGAAAAATTCTGAACAGAAGGAGAAAACTGAAGGTTTGACAGTGTCTGCTGATGGTACATGGAAGAAACGAGGATATTCTTTGTATGGTGTGACATCGCTAATCGGCTATTATACTGGAAAAATTCTCGATCTTTCGGTGAAGAGTTCTAACTGCAAAGAGTGCGAAGTTTGGAGTGAGAAAGAAGGTACTGCAGAATTTGAAGAATGGCAAGAATCTCATCAAGATAATTGTTCTGCAAATCAAGAGGGGTCCTCTGGAAAAATTGATGCAGCGGTGGAAATGTTCAAGCGCTCAGAGGAGAAACATAAAGTGCAGTATAAAAACTACATTGAAGACGGCGATTCGAAAATTTACGGCGAAATTCTAAAAGCTGCACCTTACGGTAAAAATGAGGTAGTGAAGAAAGAGTGTATTGTCAACGTCCAGAAGAGAATGGACACACGACTTCGAGAATGTGTTAAAAAAAATTTAGAAGATGTTGACAAAAGTGGTAAAACGAGACAAAGAAACGTTGTTGGTGAAAAAGAAAAACTCCCTGCGAAATTAATCGACAAGTTAACTGTTTATTACGGTTTAGCGATGAGAAGAAATTGTGACTCTGTGGAGAATATGCGTAATGCGATTATGGCAACATACGAACATTACTGTTCTACAGATGAGAATCTACAACATGAGAAGTGTCCCATTGGAAAAGATTCTTGGTGCTCTTGGCAACGCGCAGCAGCTGAGAATGAATTACAATCATTTGAACATGATTATAAACCGTTTCCAACTGAAGTTGCTAAAGCACTGTTACCAATTTATAAAGATCTTAGCAGTGACAACTTATTGGAAAGATGCATTGGTGGCTTTACACAAAACAATAACGAAAGCTACAACCAACTGATTTGGAACATCAGTCCAAAAATTATCCCAAGTGGGGATAAAATTGTTGAAATGGCAGCATTAATAGCATCTTGTATTTTTAACGAAGGGTCAACATCACTATTGTATATTATGAATGCATTGGGAATATCACTTGGACCGAATTTCCATTCGTATGCAGAATGTACATCGAACTTCGATCTCAAAGGAAAGGGCGCATTAGAACACCAGGGAGGTGCATAAGATTAAAATTCTGGAAGCTGCAACTGGAATGGACGACTCACTTTATGGTCCTGGAATAGATGAATTGATGTAAGTTTGAAAAAAAAATCTCAGGGCTCGAACTAAGTCCGTAAATCCCTTAAAGTCCGTAAATTTCCTTCAAGTCCATAAAAGTCCGTTTTTTTAAAGAAGATCCCGTAAAGTACGCAATTTGCTTCAAAAAGGATGAAAAGTTCGTAAATTTTACTATATAATTTGGATAATTTAAGAGAAATTATAAAAGATTGCAGAAAATTAATTATTTTCAAAGGTAAAATTCTTCGCAGAAATTCAATTATGTTCCAAAATTTTTTTAAATTCTCATCAAAATTTCAATTATTTCAAGCCTTGGATATTATAACTTTTTTCGACTATTTTCAAAAAATGCGACTTTTTTCGACTTATTTTCAAAAATTACGACTTTTTCGACTTTTCTTCCAAATATTGCAATAATTTTTAGTATAAAATGCCAACTTATTTCGATTTTTATATATTGTGAAAAATAACTATAGACAAATCTTCAAAAATTATTTTTTAATAATTTCTCTAATTAAATTTTCAAAATTTACAATTAAAAAGAGTTTCAATAATTGAAATAATGTAAAATTTAGTAATTAATTGAAAATAATTGATTTTTTTAAAATTGCAAATTTTTTAAAATTATTGATTTCTCAAAAATTTTATTGAAAAATCTTCAAGTCTAAATTTAAAAATGGTAATTAATAAAAATTAGCTTCTAAAAATTATATATGTAGTAATGATGTTATCACTATCTCATCGTTTTTATTTCTAAAAATTATATTAAAATATTTTTCAAAAAAATTGTTCTTAGAATTTTTGCATTCTAATCTTTTAAAATTCATTTATTTTCAAATACAAATTTCCAAAAATTCAAGTACATACAAAAAATAATAACATTAAAATTTTTTAAAATTATTTTTAACATTTTAACAACATAACAATCATGGTCAAAATTTTTAATCAAAATTCTTCAAAACATTAGTTTTTTTTTAAATTATACAATAATTCTTTTAAGAAATTGAATTCTTTTCGAAAAATTACATTACAATATTTAAAAAAGAAAAACTTTTTCTTGTAATTTTTTTATCTTAATTTTTTAAGATTCAATTAACTTCGAATAAAGTAAATTAAAATTTTTTTTAGATTTATTAAAATTGTAGAGAAATCACGTTCATATTAATAATTAAAATTCTTTAAAAATTTAATTATTTTTTAATAGAATTTACCAAATTTTAATTGTATATAATTGGAAAACTATTATCTTTCATAAATTATTTTTTAAATTATTTTTTTTTTAAATTAATTAAATTGATCAGGTTAAATAGGGTCCTGAATTTGAAATGAAACACTTTTTCTGATCAGGCCCTGAAGTGGTGTTTTAAAAAAAGGCCAAATAAGGTTGTGATCAGGGCCTTATAAGTTTAAAAGAATTTAAGCTAACAAAAAATGTAATTGACAAATGTGAATGATGCAAATTGTTTCATTTCTTTTCAATAAAAAACTAAAATTTTGTTAAAAAATGTTTGACAAATCAAAATTCTGCAGATTTTTTTCTCTATTTTTCTAAATAAATAAAGAAAATTAAGCAAATTTTATCAAAAAAAGAAAATTATAATATTAAATATAAATAATAAATGTCAAGTTATATTTTTTTATTTTTATTGTTTAGAATTAGAATATTATATTCGTACCTTCAGATTCAGAAAAAACATTTTCCAGTTTCATTAAAATCCGCTTAAAAAATTTTAATTTGTTATTATTATTTAATTAATTATTACTTATTTTCTCTGGAACTTTTTATTTTTTGCTTAAACTGACATAAAATGAATTTTAAATAATTGAATGTGGCTTAATGTGTTGACAATAAATTATGTAATTCCTTTTTTGAAGTAACCTGAAACCTGATCAGGGCCCGAAGAGTGGCCATGATAAGTCAATCCTGATCAGGGCCAAACCACAAATAGAATTTACTTAAGGCCATTTCTACACGAGTAATTTTTTGGAAATTAATTAATAACTTAAAAACATGGACAATTACAAGTATTATAAAGCACTGAATTTTTGTATTTAAATAATTGAATTCTCTAAGAATTTTCGGAAAATTATTAAAAATAATTGATTTCGAGAAAAAGTTTGAATAAAAATTGTAGAAAATAATTGAAGCCTTAAAGTCGATCCGACGCCTGTTATCTTTAGAAATAATTCAATTCTTCTCCGAAATTCAATTATTTTCAAAAATTTTCCTCAATTCAATCGCAGAATTTCGATTACTTTTGTAATACAATTTTAATGGAATTCCTCTAAAAATGTAATTGTTCTTAAAAATTGTATTAAAATTCGTCAAAAGAATTCAATTACTTAAAAATTTTTCATAAGTACATTCAATTTTTCAATAAATTATATTAAAAAATTAAAATGTTGCAAAATCAACTTTGGGGTCATATTTTGGTACGAAAATACTATAATATTATTGATATGGAATATAAAAATATCTCTATCGAAAAATTAGTAAAATACGAAAATACTATAATATTATTGATATGGAATATAAAAATATCTCTATCGAAAAATTAGTAGCACGTTTAAGAAATTTTGAGCCTTTTTTAAATAGGTGAACACGATATTTCAAAAATCGCTGAACCAATTTGGCTCAAATTTTCACACAAGCTCAACAACTACATTTTGCTGTCGTTGATCGAAGGTTTTTTAAATAAAGTTAAAATTATTATTTTAATCAGCAATTTAAGATAGTTTTGTTTCATGAAAATGAAATTTTTTCTAAAAAGTTGCCATTTTGTGAAAAAGTGATATTTTTTTAATTCCTTCGATCAACGACAATATTTTCTCATAAACTAACAGAATCTATTTTACTTTTTGATTTCAGATAATTCTGTCAGAATTTATGTTGCTCACCGAGAGAACCATTTTTTTCGAGGACCTTTTGGCAATCGCATTTATAAAGGACAGAAAAATTAATATTTTTGTAAATTAAAAATTATTTTAAAAACACTAAAAGATGTATATATGTAATATAGAAAAACTTTCATTTTAAGAAATAAATATTCCCTTAAAAAAAAATCTTCAAAAACTGAATTTTTCCAAGCCCATCTGACTAGGTACAACCCCTTAATATAAAACCCAGTTGGTTATTTTCCACTTTGAATTTTTCTCTCTATTCTATTTTTTAAACTGAAAAATTGTCGAAAAAAATTATTATTTTTCAAACAACTTTATTCAACTTGGTAATTTTAGCAATGCTAAAGGTATTGTTAAATTTTAAACAAAGAAATAATTTTCTTTATAAAAACCGTGATATAGATGTAAGCTTAAAAATTTATTCTGTTTAAAAAAAATAAATCTATATCAGCTCCTGATTTAATTTTATACAATCGATTTGCATATCATCAATAATAATTAACGACCCATGTTGACAAAAAAGTTGTTCCGAAATGCGATTAATAGGGATGATATAAAAGTATCGAAATCGTATACATTATATTTTGCAATGTCCTACAAAGTGGTCAATTTTCTTTTTTCTTTAAAAACAAATTCAATGTATCAAACACTATATATTGCTTCTAATTAATAAAAATACTAATATTTATATTCAAAATTATAAAGTTAAGAATAATATACTAAAGTCAAAAAAAAATCTAAATAAATAAAGATTTACATTCTCTTTCTTCTTTTTTAAATTTTTTACTAAAAGCATTATAAAGACTGCACACGAATATAATATAAGGTTTTGGACCCGAGCAACAGAAAGCTTTTTTCTAAAAATAAATTTTTAAAATATACCTATTAATTAAAAAAAACTTTTGAATAATTGAAATTTTATAAAATTTAATTGATTTTTTACATTATTTAATAGAACAATTTTTTAAAATCAACTTTTGGAGACTTTAAATTGCAAATTTTCAAAATATTAATAATTTTTAAAATTTATTGGCAATAATAAATATTATTAATAATTTTCAAATTCTCAAAAATTTTAATGAAAAATCTTCAAGTGTAAATTCTAATAATTACATTAAAATATTTTTGAGAAAAATGATTCTTAGAATATTTTTATTATAATATATAAATTTTTCATTATAATTTTCATTGACTTGTAATATCTAAAAAATCAATGTTTTAAACATAAATTTTAGCCAAATTTATCTTCTGAAAAAAAAAATTAAACTGAAATTTGTATTTTGCACATTGATTTTTCAGGCATCAGGGACTAATGAAAATGTCTGTACAAATTTTATTTGTGGTATTACTTTCCGGTGCGGCGGCTCAAATACATGCAAAAAATAATATTACAATTATATAGTTAAAAATTATATAGAAAGTAAGTGAATTTTTGGAGGAATTATAGTTTTAATTTTTAAAAATTATTAAATTTCAGAAGATTTATATTGAAATAAATTTTATTTTCTGTGGAAAAATAAATAAGAAATATTCAAATATTTATTTAAGGGGATTTTCTGGTGCAGAATTTGTAAAAAAACACTTTTTCAAACTCTTATTGCAAATAATGTACCTATTATAGTTATTGCAAAATTCCTTTTGGATATTCTTACATATTACAAGAAGATAATTAAAAAATTTATTTGAGTATTTTTAGTTGATTTTCTTTTCATAAGCGTTTTTCTAGACAACAAACCTCAAAAACAATTTTTTTTAATGTTTTATAAATTTTTATACACATTTTTCTCAAAATATCGCAAAAATACTGTGTTTTTGGGCTAATTCAGGGTGGCCGCTGGACCGGGAAAACCGATGTATATCAAGTTAGCAGTGCAACTTCACAAAATTCAAAAATGAACAATACTATAATTTGCCGTTAATTAATCGCTAATTAATTGTGAAAGAAATAATTTTGTCGTTTAAATATTTTTTTTTATACAGGGTGCCCTGCTAACTTGATGTCAAGTTAGCAGGGCACCCCCTTGAAACTGTTAAATCAATATATTTCGCAGAATTTCTTGCGCAAGAATTTACCGTTTTTTATCCGTAACAAATCCCATTAATCCTTTTGAAAAATAATTAAAGTTGCGAGGGCAAACAAAAGTTTTCGGCTTTAGAAGTGTAGAATAACCACTTTAACCGCACTCATAGGGTTATTCCTGTGTTTTAAATTTACCGCTTGTCGAATTTAAATTAATTGTGTCCGGGAAAAAATCGTATGATTATTTTCAACTTAACATTAGATAATATCAAGTTAAGCCAACCTCCTATCTCAATTTTTTATATTTGTTTTCATTTTTATAAATTCCACACTTTCGCCACTAGTTGTGCAATGTACTATTGTACCAAATGATCAAAATATTAGTGTACGGAACCCGCTATTTCAGTGCAAGTGAAATTCGCACTTGCCCAGTTTTTTTTAAATGCCGTCTAACATAAAAATAAACAATTATGAAAAGATAAAAATTACTTCGGAGGCGAGGGAATATTAATTTAGTTAAAATTTCTAAAATTTTTGTAAGATCCTGGAAAAAAATTTCAAATATAGTGTTTTTCCTACCTTGGATCCTCTTGCAATTTTTTTTAATTACTTCATACATTAAAATTTACAATTATCAAAAGAAAAAATTGTTTCTAAGGCATGAAAATGATAATTTAATTGAATAAACAATTTAATTTAATACCGAGATTTTTTAAAAAATCATAACTATTATAAATGGTACAATATAAATTAAATTTATCAATCTTTTTCTGTGAAAGTCAGGTGGCAGATTGCACCCGTAGTAATTTCTTAAATCATTAATGCGCGCATAGAATTTTACTAGTAAATTGAATAAGTTAATAAAATATCTCTGAATATCTATAATATATTTAAAATATAAGTAAATAACGTAAATATTTTTTCCCATTGACTATAAACGTTGTAAAAATAATCTCAGGGCATTCTAGCGATATTTTTATTATATCCCTAGGATATCCTGTGAATATCCTCTAGATATACCAAGGACAGCTATAAGATATCCCTACACTGTAAAAAATTTATGGAGTTAACGGACTCGGGAGTTGGGAGTGAAATTTTTTGAGTTAAAAATCAACTCTAGAAGAGAGTTAATTTACTAACTTCTACTAACTCCCTTTATCACAAAATTTTATTCACAACCATTGTTTACATGATTCTTTATGTTTTTTTATTATTGTAGATTATGTAAATGCAATATTATAAATAAAAAACCAAACGGTCCGGTTTACCCCAGGGGGTGGGGCAAACCGGACCGTTTGCAAAATTTTTTAAAGTTAACACAGCAACTTAACAATAAAAGATAAGGTATATGTGTCTCTGGGAAAAAGTTGCGCAATTAAATGATCATTCAAACAAGCCATCGAAAAGTGAAATCAGTTGATTCGTTTGGTCACAAGAGTCAAAAAACCGTTAGGGGGTCCGGTTTGCCCCACTCTACCCTATTAATTATTTTTAAGAAATAATCTTCTAAAAATTGAAAATTAAAGATTTTTAAATTCAAAAGTTAATAAACTAAAATAAATAAAAAATAAGTATAAACCAACTATTTACTACTTTTTTTACGTTATGGTACTATATATTTAAGTACTTTTTTTTAGATTTCAGCAACTCGAAGCTACTATTTCTTTTTTTTTTTGAGAATTTGCACTACTTTAAATTCGCTAATACAAGAAATAAAAATATATTTTAATAAAATTTCGCAAAGAAATTCAATTATTCAGAAAAAATTGATAAAATTTATCCAAAATTTAATTATTTTCATAAATAATAAAATTTCTCCATTTTAAACATTTTAATAAAATTCTTCTTAGGAATTCAATTTTTTTTAAATTTTAATAAAATTCTTTACTATTACTATTTCTTTTCTAATACTATTTTAATTGAAATTTTGAAAAGAATTTAATTATTGTCCGAATTTTAATAAAAGGCTTCGCAGTAATTCAATTATTATTCAACTCATTAACAAAATTTCTGCAAGGCATTTAATTATTGTTATAAATTTGAATAAAATTTTTTTTAAAAATTCAATTATTTTCATGAATGATAAAATACTTTACAGAAATTCAATATTTGTGTTGTTACTTAAAATAATAAAATCCTTTGCAGAAAATAAAATATTCTCGTATAAATAACATTTTTACAGGGAATCAATTATTTTTATAAAAAATAAAATTCTTTTAGGAATTCAATTATTTTCATAAATAATAAAACTCATTGCAGAATTTCAATTATTTTTTATAAAATTTTAATCGTATTTCTCGAAAAATGTCACTATTCTCAAAAATTTTATTACAATTTGTTGATAACGATTCTTTATGGGAATTGAATTTTAAGAAACATTCAATTCAATTAAAATTTTAGATTAACAATTAAATATCAAAAGCAATATAGCGTGAATTTTTAAAAATAATTGAATTTTGAATAAATTTAATTGAACTTTGTAAATATTATTCTAAGTTTTTATATTTTAATATTTATTTCATTGAAGAATTTAGGAATATTTGAAATTTTGTAAAACTAAATATTGTAAACTATAATGGATTTAAAAATACCATCCTTCTAATTTTAGGTTAGGATTTTTGTCAAAATAATTGTGCGAATAAATTAACCGAGTTGAGTTGTACAATTCGAAACTCCGATTTTCGAATTGGCTAGTTTGATTCGAATTTACTTTCGAATTGGTAGTTCGATTCGAATTTTCTTTCGATTCGAATCGGCCAATTCGAAATTGAACACTTGAACAAAAGGAACTTCAAGCGTATAGAAATATGGATAATAGATATATACTGCCCAAAAAGAAAAATTGATATTCTAAAATTAAGAATTTAATCACCGACAGATTAGCTCAGTCGGATAAATGCCTCGCTCGGCGAGATGGACCAAGGGTACTTGGTTCGCGCCCATTAGCCTGGGATTTTTCCGGCACGTGAGATAATCTGAGCGGGCGATTTGAACGTCGAGGACTTGGTTGTGTAATATTCGAGACTTCGAATTTATACATCCAAGACTCGGCGTCGATAAATCGGCTGTACTCAGTTAAAGGTTTTCCGTAGTTTCCCTTAACTATGGCCAGAGAGGGCCATGTGAATACGAGTACTTCTAA